AGCTTTTTCAAATACAAAAGGACATCTGATACTACATTGAGGAACACAACAAGATGTATAAAGCAGTGTTCTGTGATTAAGAACATGTCATTTCTCTGCTAGTTCACAACAGACACCTAGGAAGAAAGCAGCTCAGAACAGAAGCACTACAACCATGGTGCCACCTGCTGTGAGCAGAGGTTCACTGCATGTTAATCATGTAATTCCTTAGTGATCAGGTCAAAAGGATACCATCCACATACAAAATCTTCACTCCCCACGATCGGGCATTGGCCAGAACGCTGCTCCCCTGCAGTCGTTCCTAAAAGGCAGATCCATCAAAATCACATCAAGATAAAACTTGTTATACTACCAATACCCACAAACTACAAGTTAAAACTCACAAATCTGCAAGATAAACTTCATTTCAGTTACACTCACTTACATTGTTGCTAATAGCTTTTTCAAGCAGGGCCTTTCCCCGGCTGCCGCACGCCTGTAGAGACAAATACAGTACCGTCCATGTCACTCCAGCCTATACTTTGTAGTAACATTCATAATTGTTCATATGAGTTAGTGATGGAAAAAGGATTAAATTAAAAGTTGAACTCCTTAAATAGTATTTGTTTTTGAGTTGTTATAATCATTTCTCATAAAAATCAATAACCAATTCACAATATTTAGAAAAAGATATTAATTTGTAGCAGGGACATATGATAAACTGCAAGAAAGTATCAAAACTGTAAACGCACACCAAGAAATTTTAAATATGTATTTATATAAACAAAAATGCATTTTAGATATTTAAAAATACCCTGAATATAAACCCTTGAGAGGTTGTAGAGAGTGATGTTCAGTACCATTGGTCTAGGAGTTACTGGTTGCTGTCTGTCATTTTTGAGGATGGTCTCCCGCTGTTTAATAAGACGTTGGGCTTCTTCATTCATTCGCTTTGCCCCTCCATTGATATCTGTACACTTCTGCTCCTTTTGGCCTTCTTGGCTTCCAGTCACAACAAAACTCACATCCTTGTGCAGAAAACTTTCAACTCTCTTCAGAACAAAAAGAAAACACATCTGTTCATCAGTATCTGTTGAAAGACATCTTTCATCATCAGACCTTTACATTTGTTTGTGCAAAATCTAACGTAAACTTATGTAGGTATAGAAAAGACCAAAATGAAAGTATTAGTTGTGATACTGTCATCCCAACTAACACTTTTGGTATGTTGTTATCTTTTGATCCTGGACCAAAAAAATATTACTACACTGCCTTAATCTTAAAACACGCTGTCAAAAAGTACTATAGGATTCACAATCATACTATACCGTCACCTTCACATAAGCTTACCCCTCCTAGAAGACATATGGCCTCCAAAAGCAGGGCTGTTGGGCGTTTCTTTACACCATCCAAATAGAAGGTCATCCCCTCCAGCTTCTTATCACCAGGGCACAGTTTGCCCAGAAGGTCTAGCTTCTCTGCGTGCTGCTGCATGATCTTGATGCAGTAAAGGAGCACACAGCTTTACCGTAAAACACCGGAATCCTACTCAAAGAAGAGAATAAAACATCTGTCAATGTCAAGCCTACAAAATGTACTTGACAGAAAACAGAGTAAAAACAAGACAACATACAAGACCAGAAAGCCCTTAACGTGACATAAACCGCAGCTGCACTATTGTAAATAGGCTTGTTTTGTTCAGAATTTAAATTCTTGAAGTGCAACAACAATACATTAATAAATGATCACCGGTTTAATGCAATCGAAGGTCGGTTTAGAAGAAAGAAAAGCATTCGTTGTTAGTTTGCTGCCAATTTACAACAATTATTAACTTAGCCACCGTGCTAGTTAGCACACGTAGCTATAGCTTAGTTCGTTAGCATTACCTGGCCTTAGCGAGCTTAGCTTTCCTCAAACACACAACATCTGAGCAACAAAACTTGTTCTGTAAATGGAAATCTTAAGGGAAAACACCTTACTTACTATATGTTTCTGTGTAGGAACGCTACAATAAAGAAAGATTGCTATTGTTTCACCCGAAGGTGGTCGAGAAGCAACCGCCGCTTTTTTAAAAACACTTGCGGAGCTGTAACGTGACATCCGGTAATGCTGCCTTCACTTGCTTTATATATATCGCAGGGATTCACACCTCTTAATCGTTGCCAATGCCAAAATCTATGACTGTTTTCAGAGATTCAAATAGGAATTTTGGTAATTCCGCAGTTGGATTATTGGGATGCTCATTACAAATTATCAGGTCGAGCACCATCATACTTGTTTCTCCAAGCCGATACCACGCTGTCTGCTTGTAATTTGGAGTCTTACGCACGGTGTTGACAGCGCACTGAACGCCCCACAACAGATGCTGCGACAGCAAAAATGAACTGATACTTTACTTTTCCCGTTTTGTATGGAACCCCAAAGTGTTCAAAATTAAATAAGTTAATAGGATATTATGAAATAAATAAATATATGAATAAATGAGAGACAAATATGTAAACTGACCATGAAATTGTGAAATAATCACAAACATTTTCCAAATTAAGCTCATTCTTATGAAATACGTTTCATTCTGCTTTAAAATCTGCTCATTATCATGAAATTTTATTTCATAATGATTCTTTTCATAATAATACCGATTATCACATCTGCCTTTTTATTTAAATCCAGACGTTTTTATTTCAAAAGGTCATTTTTCCAAAGTCGGCTTTTATTGCACAATACCCTTTTCCCCAGTGGCCTATTTATTTCAAAATGCCACTTTTCAGCAGAATGACTTTGTCTGTCAATCAAGGCAAACAGGGCGGAGGCAGTTATGCGATTGGCTACTCCTTAACTCAGACATAAGCAACAGCACTTAAGGTATCGATTTAAGTCTGGTGGCGCAATAAATACTCCAAAGCACTAGGTGGCCTCGTATACACCTCGAAATGTAGTTGCAGCTCCGACAACTGAAGCAAAACACTTGACACAAATATCATTACAGGTGGATGCGAAGTTTGTGGATGGTATGGCTACAGGAGGGAAGTCAGTTTCCGAGTTGCTCAGAGAAGTTGCTTTCCCCAGTGGCCTATTTATTTCAAAATGCCACTTTTCAGCAGAATGACTTTGTCTGTCAATTAAGGCAAACAGGGCGGAGGCAGTTATTCGATTGGCTACTCCTTAAGGAGACCAAATGCTAATGCTAATACAGGTGACCACACTCCACGCAACCCTGTACACGGTAAGTACCATATTTTCTGCACTATAAGGCGCACCTAAGAGCCTTAAATTTTCTCAAAAATCGGCCGTGCGCCTGATAATCCAGTGTGCCTTATGTGTGCAGTGAGTTCCAAAATCTGTAAAAATGTTGTTGTGCGACTTTGGTAAGCGCTCCGCTTGACTGACTGTTGGACCATTTCCCGCTGACACAGGGACATAATATGTACACTACGTACGCTGGCAGCGATAAACCAGTCTAAGGACCCCCGAAAATGGCACCAGTGAAGAGACATGCTTACGAGGCACAATTCAAACTACAGGCTATCAGTTACGCGGTTGTAAATGGGAATAGAGCAGCTGCGAAA